CTCAGAGTCACCCGTCGGGGGGACTGGGGCGGCCTCAGAGTCACCCGTGGGGGGGACAGGCGTGGCCTCAGGGTCCCCTGTGGGGGGTACGGGGGTGGCCCCCTGATCAGTCACCGTGGGCAGCGCCAGATAGCTAAGAGTCCAGTAGCGCAGGAAGTTGGTTCTCAGGCCCCGCTTCATGGAGTTGCTGTCTATCTTCTTGGTGATCTCCAGGTAACTACCGTTTTCGGTGGTGTAGGGTTCCCAGTGTGTGGGCACAGCTGAGTTGCCCATATTGGGGTCCCTGCAGAGTGAGAAGAGGCTGTTCAGGGCTGGAGACTTTCAGGGGGCTGAAGCTCTGCTCTGTACCCACACGCTTGAGCCATCCCCTCCCCGAGCTGGCCCTGGGCACCGTGGCTCCTCGCTTCATACTGGGCACCGGCTGTGCACAGAGCTTGGGGCTCTGCCAGTAGCTCTTATCCTCGGAAACACACATAGATTCCCATGCTGGGGGAGGTTAAGTGGCTCGCCCAAAGTCCCTCCCCTGGCTAGTGAGGGAACAGGGCCTGCTGGCAGGAGGCCCTTACGTCTAAGGTCCTCCCCTCTGCGCTCAACCCACGCCTTACCCTGTTTTGGCAAAGTTGGTCCAGTAGGCGATCATGTTCTTAGAGACTGTCCTGTCTTGGGGCCGGTAGCCCAGGGGGGTGGCGAAGGGCTTCCCGAAGACGTACTGGATGTCATCTGCATGGTCCGCCCCCACCCATTTGGGGTAAGTGGGCATCCGAGAGGGATGGGAAAACAGGTAGGTGTAGGTCTTGGCACTCCTGGAGGGGAGAGACCACCCAAGTAGGCAGGGTGCCCACCAGGGACCAGCCAGCCCAGAGACCAGCCCTAAAGGGAGGTCCCGGGCAGCGGGCAGAGAAGGGGCTGGGGAATTCACATGAAGAGACTGGGCTTCTTATACCCAGGGAAGGGAAAGCTGTGGACCAAATTCATGGATTCATGGGTTCTACGATTTCAACTGAATTCATATTTCAGCTTTATAAAACACTGTGAGGCACCTTCCTTCTATAATTCAGTATCAAGAAATAGTTTTCTCTCCAAGTGAATATGCATTCTTCAATTGGATTGGACAAGGCATGGGCCCTCAACTGTTTCCCTTTTTGCCTTGACTGAAAGGAGGCTCACAGCTCAGTGGATTGCTTAGTTGCTGCAACGCTTTCATCCTAGACTTCTTGGCATACTTTTATCTTCCCGTCTTTTTAGCATTTCTTATTTTTCATTTTTATTATTATTTTCTTTTACTTATTTATTTGAGACAGAGTCTTGCTCTGTTGCCCATGCTGGAGTGCAGTGGAGCAATCTTAGCTCACTGCAACCTCCACCTTTTGGGTTCAAGTGATTCTCCTGCCTCAGCTTCCCGAGTAGCTGGGTTTACAGGTGCGCACCACGTCTGGCTAATTTTTGTATTTTTGGTAGAGACAGGGTTTTGCCATGTTGCCCAGAGTGGTCTCAAACTCCTGACCTCAAGTGATCCTCCTGCCTCAACCTCCCAAAGTGCTGGGATTACAGGCATGAGCCTCTGTACCCAGCCTTATTTTTTATTTTAATAAGCTATTCTTACATAAAGGTCTTTAATGTGGCCGTGGGCTGAAAATATTTTGTAAATTGGCAAAGTTGAGGCCTGTTGGAAATACATGCTTGGTGCCGTAAAGAAAAATCGGCACAGAGACAAAGGATCTCTCAGCAATGCGATTTTTACTTCCTGGACTGCAGGAAGGGTACTCTCCTTAGCCATTATGTCACAAGAATATCCTTCCTGCAATCCAGGAAGTAAAAATTGCATTGCTGAAAGATCCTTTGTCTCAGTGCTGATTTTTCCTTGAAGCACTGAGCATCTATTTTCAACCTCTGTTTCCAACAAGGCCTCTAAGAGTCATAGAATAGAAAAACCCTTGTCCGGTGTTCTCTCAGTCTACACAGTGTGGGGGATAACAGGCAGCTCAATAACTCTCCAGTGACAAGGACTATGGGGTGCGGGGCTGAGCAGAGCAGAGGATGCTGGGGTTTGTAAACTCCCTAGGGGCTGGGAGGAAAACAGAGGCCCTCAAGTCTTGCCAGGCTCAGCAAAGTGGATCAGGAAGGCACAGGAGGGGACTCCAGCACCACCTTCCCAGACAACCCAGATGCCTGTGAGCTATCTACAGAGAGGCCTCGGCTGGAAATGCAGCACCCAAGAGGGACCCCCAGGACCCATCCCCTTCCCAGATCCTCACTTGGCGTTGGCTCTGTGCTGGGCCAGGGCAATCTCGGTGGGCACCAGGAAGAGGATGTCAGTCTCAAAGTCCACCACAGTCTTCTTCTTGTTCTCCTGGGATGGGTCCTGAGCCCAGGACTCGGTGTAGACGTCAAAGGTTGTCTTGGCGCCTCTGAGCCCCTTGGTGATGGTGAGCCCACTGACCAGCCTGAAGAAGTCCTCCCTGCGGGGAACAAGTAGGCACTGATGCTCTCCCTGTGCCAACAGGAGGGTATCTGCACACCCAACCATACTGGTGCTAACTTTCTCACTCCCAATCCTCCACTCAATGCCTTACTTCTCCAGGCTGGCCCAACTCCAGCCCGGGTTGCCCCTGGGTCTGGTGCCATTGCTTCTTACTCTGTGACTTCCTGCTTGTCCTTGTTGATGGCAGGCATGTCAATGCTGGCGAAGATGTGGCCGTCCATGTTGTTGGTGCCTGCCATGTAGTCGATGTCGGCGGCGTTGGCGTATAGGTTGACGGGGTCATCGGGGATGAAGTCTCCATCAATTACAGGGAGGAAGCCCAGGTAGTGCAGCATGGGGTCTGGGTGGGAGAGCCAGCAGGTTCTAGTACCTTCCAGTGTCCCCCTGAGCCACCCCTTGCCTCTCAGGGCTGGAGTTGGCCATGTTCTTCCTTCTCTGATCTATGGACTTGGGACAGGGAGGATTCTGCACCATCGGGGACATCCTGTGCTCTGTAGGATGTTTAGGGCATCAAGAGCATCGACCCACGAGGTGCCAGGAGCACCCCTCCCCAACAGGGACAATCACAAACGTCTCCAGGCCTTGCCACACGTCCCAGGCTGAGAGCCACTGTCTAGGGCCAGATCTGTCTCCTTCAGCGGCAGCCCCTCCCTCTCCTCTCTCTCTCTTTGCTGGGCCTGAATCAGGAAGGAGGAAAACTTAGAAGCCACTGAGGGGACTGATGGAGAAGGAGCTCCCTCTCGCAGGGCTGGGTTCCAGTCCATTAGCCA